ACTAGAAAAGTCTAATAATCTGGATTATATTATAATCCGCCTAATATGTAGTAATCCTGTCATTAGAAATAAGATACACAATACAAATAAACTATTGCCTTGATTTATTATTTTACTTCTTCAAAACAAGCTTGAAAACTTTTCTTTTTTTTTTTTTTACCTTCTTTGTACTTTGTAATAGGACATATTTCGTTATAGCCTCTTGAACTTTACTTCAGTCATTAATTCATGAAGATTGAGAAGATGACAAAATAATGAAGAGTACTTATGTTATATTACTGGCACATTTAGTCTCCTGTAATCAATATTTTATTTGAAAATGAGACCTTAAAGGAGACAAATATTATGTAAAATGTAAAAAATGTTTAAAAAAAAATGTAAAAATTCCTTCATGTTTGGGTAATCATGTATCAAGCTTGTGAGTGCTCAAATGTCTGTTTTCACGTACACCCCATCCCTGCCCACTCCTCTGTACCTACTTGCTATTGCTAAAAAAATAGTAATAATAAATCATACTTTGAGTCATTCTTGTAGGGTTCCAAATTTTATGTAGCCCCCTAAACAATATAATCTATAATAAAAATCAAATCTGATGCTTGCTATGGTGAAATTAGATTTTGCAGAAGTCTGTCAGTTCTGCAGTTTTAAACAGGAAATTGATTACCTTTTAAAATCAGTATTGAAGTTTACAATAAACAAAATGTAAAATAATGGTCGATGTAGACACACATCTAACAAATGCAGATTTTGTTAATCTGGTCTCTTCCTCTTCGATGCATCCTTCTCTACCTCCCCCACCTCCTTCATGCAAACACCCACCCCAGCCTCCAGGCCTGGCACAGGATTTGTTGCTCTGACTAAAAGGGGAGAATCTATTTGCCATCTCTTAGCTCTCCTCGCTATCATACCCAGGAAGCATGCTGACTCTCCAGAGTGGTGCCCCTAGAAACAAGTTTAAGCAAGAATCCATATTTAAACAGCTAAATACCCCCTCAAAAACGAGAGGTGGGCCCTGGGAGATGATTTTGAAAGAATACGTCATAAATATCTGGCTCTAACTCCTTGATTTTAGGTGTTAGTTTCTAAATTCATTGGAGTGAATCAAAGTCACGCTGCTGCAGCTGGGTGCAGGGACAAAAACAGTGAGCAGTTTCAGATGATGATTTCAAAAGTGAGACAGTCACATAACAGTTTGATTTTTATTTTTATTTTTTTTGCACCACTGAACAGTGTAATTCATAAAAACTCAACATGAACATCATACCTGCAAAACAGCCGCTTTCATCTTAGTGCCCTTTGTGTACCACATGTAAAACATTTAGAGGACACATTTGACTTGACTCTTGTGTTTTCAGTCATTTTGCGACTACGTGCAGATTTTTATTTGATAAAGCCGTTGTGGAATAACTATTATATCCACCCACACTTAAGTATTTTTCATTTATTTCCGGTAAATGGACTCAAGGATCAGTCTGTAGAGACTACAGACTGATCCTCAAATGTATCTACCACTATTCTTACAGTTTGGATGTTAAAAGCAGTTTAGCAGTAGCAGCATCTTGACTCCTAACACAAGTATGCTCATATGCTTTCATGTTTTTCAGGCTTAATTATATTAATAGCTTTTATTTTTTAAAGAAGACAACAGTATTTGCATACTTGTGGCCGCCTCCTTTAAGCATGTTTCACCAAGCTGAAGAATGAAATAAGGGAATGCTGCTTACACTATTTACATCCTCAACTTGAATACGCAAAATTTCATTAAACTATGTACCCAGATTGTTTTTGTTCCATTTTCTAAAGCTCTATATTTCAGTAAAATTTGTGTTTTTTCATAGTTTGCGATGTTTGGTAACTACTGCTTACTCACATTGGCGCTAAAATATGGAGCGCTACCAACCTATAATGCAGATGTTCTATTTATAAATACTATAATAATAAATAAATAATATAAATAGAGTCTAGAAAAAAATATAGTTTATGTTATTGTAACCAATACACCATTTGTTCCATTCCTTTTTGTCATTTTGTAACTACTACTACTACTACTTCCGGCTCTGACATGTTATTTCTCACAGATGTTCTTTCATCTCTAGTGCAGCCTCCCTCCTGTAAAATGAGATTGGAGCAGAACCCTTGTGTAGCTGCATTAGGATGTATTCTGCTAAAAGGTTACAACTTGGTTAGAAGTGTGGTGGAGTATAGTTGCCCAGGCTAACTACATTACACTCATGGTGTTGATGGCACTTACCTGAACTCTGAAAACCATTTCCCTCAATATCTGCCCCTGTGTATGTACTAAAGAGATGATGGGCTCAATGATTTCCACCATGGATCTGTTTGCCACAAAAGTACTGGAATGGTGAGGAGCGCAGAAGCATGGTATTGATCCACTTTCGGTCTCCTCTCCTCTCTACACAAGGCCCTACGTTTTCCCTCCTCTTTTTGCTGTCTCAGTGCTTTCCTGACTTTTACGAGGAGAGGTGTGGGTGGGTGTGGGAGAGGTGGAGAGAGGGGGGGTGGCCACGATTGCATTGCCAGTGCCTAGGTGTCATCTTTCTGTTGTGGACCGGTGGTAAGTAGCCATTAGTAAACTGATCTTTGCAAGAGGAAATTTAATGGTCTACTAACTGTATTTACAAGACATTCAATTTGATAAAGGGTGCGATCGTGAATGATTTATGACACGCCGGCCCTGCTCTTCTCTTTACTATCAAATTCTGGGTTTCATCCAGCGTACATCCTTTGATTCATCAGTTTTGCCGGTCATTCATCAGTTTTTATGTAACAGGGCCAGAGAGGGAGGGTGCAATAATGTGGGCTAATGCAGGCAAATGGTGACTGTCACAAACTATATTCCCAGAGCTCTGTTTTGTACTTCTAGTTAGCCTTATTTAGCTCTTCTGAAGATCCACTGCTGGTTAAGTTGCAAAAAAAAAAAACAGCTTTCAGCTCAGTTTAACATCAAAAGCAAAGTGGGAAATAGAAAATATTAAAATATGGAGATTGGGAGTCGCACACTGGGGCAACTGATTAGCGTACCAGTGGTTATCAGAAAGCATTTGAGAATGGCAGATTTGAGATGTAACAACTTATTTTATTTGTTTATTTATTTTGACACACAGCCCGCAGTCACTTAAAGGATGGAAATATGACTGGCTTTACTTTTTTGTCCATGTATTTGAGCAAATCTAGCTAGTGCCTTCGCTCAATTTCATTTCTCTCCATCGACTAGGTCAGGAATCGGAATACACTAGACGGATTGCAAGAACCCCGGAAGTGTGAGTTCGGGCATCAGCGAAAAGCCATACATTCTGTGTTGGCAACGATTTCCGAGATCGAAGACTTAAAGCCGGAACAAAGAAAATGTTTGGTGAATTTTATCAAGGGGAAAGACGTTATTGCTCGTCTTCCTATTGGATTTGGGAAAAAGTTAATATACCAGTTAACCCCATTAGCGGCGCATTACATACGTCCCGTAGTCCCGTAGTACCCGCCAACCGTTGAGCAAACTAATTCTAATTCTTCGAGGTGAAACGGTTTCCATGAGGTGAAACCGGCTGATGAATCAGACTAGATCAAATCAGTCCCAGAACAGAAATATTGTAAAAGTAGCTATTAGAGCTATTGAGACCACTTTGTGCTGTCTGCATCTAATTATAATATGTTTTATTATCTGAGAACCAGGAAGTGTGGCATTAGCATGCTAGTTGGGTTTTGTGATGGCAGAAGTCCGCTCTGGTCTCTTAAAGTTGTGAAAAGCACATGAGGAATCACTTTGGATAACTGAAAACCATTTAATATAAACTAATTGAGTTTTCATCTTTTTTAAGGCCGTAAAGTTCAGGTACAGTGTCTTTAATAGTCTACTGACACAAACAGGGTCTCTTTGTCAAGTTACTTGGATGAGAAACTACCATTCCAGTTTATAGTAGAACATTTTCAGGAAGAAAGCACTGCCCTATAAAGCACAGTGTTTTATTATTTGTTAGCAAAAAGTTATAGCTACATTTTATTTATTCTTGTGGGTTGACTTAATCTTTGTAAGTTTTGATCACGTAACTCGCGTACATGTGTGCGTGATACTGTGAGAGCAAAGTAAATTGGGTGAACAGATTTTGCATTCACTTATCTCTTTTAGCTCGTTAGTGGCCCACACGCTGATCAAGTTCCTAGAGTTAGTTTGATACAGTTCATTGTGTCTTCCGCAAAAGTTAGTTCCATGAAAGTTTATTTTTGTTCAGCGGAGGCCAACTGTGCTTGGTGTGCTAACTATGTGACTCCTCTGAGGAAGTGTAGGAAGTGAATAGTTACTGCAAGTCAAGGTAAAATACACAATGTTCTTTCACAATAAGATAGGCATTATTTGGTTCAGATTTTCTCTTCCTACTGTTTGGAATCAAATTTATGTGACCGGGACATTGGCACTTAACTGTATGTTTGCTTTTGATAGAAATGCCCCATCTCTCCAGAGCTCTTGATAAGAACAGCAAATAGCACTGACAGCACGAATCTGCGACTTTATTGTCTGATATAACGCTTACTTTTAAATCATAAAATGTTAGGATTCTCACTTGCAAACTTTCTTTACAATACATAGAAAAGATCTTCACTCTATAGTCACAACGGGTTTTAATTATTCTAAATATTTAATGTTTGTAATGTAAACAAACTCACTATGCAGTATTTTCCATATTTTTCTTCATAAATGTATTCCATTCTTACCCCATTAATTTACTCAGGCTTTCTCATCAAACTGACTTCATTCATATACCATCCCCACCTTATATAAGCTGCGGAATAATAATAGTGCAAAGGACTATTTAATATTTAAGACTGCTTAATATTTAATACTATTTTCTGACTTTTGAAGAGTGAACTTTAAAAGGCCAGTAAAAAAAATCAGTTGGATAAAGCGTCCATTGTGAAGACTTCTAACATGGATGAGATGACAAAAAGTTTTTCTTGGGGCTCAGTGGTTGTCTTTGTTTATTTTGCAGCATCCCCATCGACGAGTGACCTTCTCCACCACTAACCCGGTCCAGGACATGCAGGATGCCTCCCAGCACAGTTACTATGACAGCGGCCTGGAGGAATCGGAGACCCCCAGCAGCAAGTCATCGTCAGGCCCCCGTATCGGCCCCCTGACCCTGCCCGAGGATCACTACGAGAGGACCACCCCAGATGGCAGCATTGGAGAGACCGAACATCCCGAAAACGGTACTGTGACAAGTGTGTCCATGTTAATGAATCAGAGAGATGGGAGTGTGTGTGTGGGGGGGCTTTTATGGCTTTTGTAAGTGGCTTTTTATCAAACTAAAACAGGCTAACAGTTGGCTAAAACTCAAGCAATGCACTCTAGACCACATTGCACCCTCTCCTCCTCGCAGTTTCATCCTGTGGTTTTGGAGTATGGGTTGAATGTAGAAAACTTATTTCCTTATAGGGAATATGAGCCTCCTGCCACCTAAATAATTAACAGTGGTTCTCAAAGTACCACTCAAAAAAATATTTGGTTTTCTTAGTACCAACAGAGCTAAACCAAGTCAATACTAAGGATGTTCCAAGTCTAAACTTGGGTTAAATCAGGTCAGAATAGAACATTATCTTTGCTACAGTAATCCTAAACAAGCAAAACAGTAGTTCTAAGCAACCCAAAGGAAAATAAATATGTGTACACAACTGACTAAATAAGCAGCAGTAGCTCTGTAGAGGAATCTGCAGACGGAGCCAAGAGAGCTTTACTAAAGCACAGTATATAAAATCATATAATATTTAAAAGAAAAACAAAAACTCACATTTGTGAAATACTAGTATCCATACAATTAGGAGCCTTGGGTATTGTACAGAAGACAATAGAAGACAGCACTTATTTGCATACATAGATAATCTGCCTCAGAAAGAAAACAAAGATGTGATCCCAGTGGGTATGACTTAATAATGATTAAAAGGTAGCCCCAAAAGTGTCAGAAACCAGACCTAGCATCATCATAAATCAACTGCACAGATGATAAGTGCATCATAACACTTCCCAAAACATAATTTCATGACTTTCTGCTTATTCTCTCTGAATATATCATGTCTTCTACAATGCGTTACAGCCAAGTGTGAAAGTTAGCCATGCTGTTGTCGTGTTTGGTGGTTGGTGGTGCAGCTCGATGACTGTAAATAGTAATGTGCGGTACACCATTTGCTGGGGCTATTTCTTTGGGGAAATGTTGTAACCGTGCCTGACCACTGACCAGACCTTTGTGCTGTGTTAGTTGGTCACTCCACGGACCATTATTGGATTTTAAGCAGATCTGATTGTGTGTGTGAGTGTGTGTGTGCGCGTGTGTGTCTATGCGTGCGCGTGTGGGTGTGTGGCATTAGGTCCGGAGTTAGCAGCCTTCCCTTCTCCTCATCAGCAGGTCCTCCGTCAGACATCCTTAACGACTCTCTCCCTCACAAGTGCGCTAATTAAAAAGCCCAACTAATGAACCATTTGCCCTCCAAATAAATCTGAACCATGACATCTGTGCCGACAAGGCTTGTGTTTACCCATTGCACTTCCTCTGGCTGCGTTTTTGGACCCAAGGTAAACTGTACGGCTCGGGCTGTGCAGTAGGAGCCATATTTCCCAGGCACAGTAATCAATCCATGAGGTGGTCTCAGCGTAGGTCTATATAAAAGGAGCCAAAGCTGGAAGTCCCATTCGGCCAACTGTGGATCATAATAGCAGTTTTGCCGCTATAAGCTGCCAAACCTAATCCATTACCTGTCTTGTAGCAAACTACGATAAGTGATTCACACGCTGCGTTTCCAGTGATTATAGTACTCTGAAAAGCACCACCCTCTGGATTAAGCACTTTTACACTGTGGTAATTCAACGCGCGTCCTTTTAATGCTGCGATTAAAATGTGTCTTCTCCAGCTCATCTGCATTACATTTAGGTATGAGGTTGTGTCTCATGTCGCTAATGTACTTTTTATATATATGGTAATATTGAGTGTATTCATTAAAGGGTGAAAGCTTAAGTTTCTTTTTATTGGTGACAAAAATATATGGAAAAAAAAAAAGATCTCTCACATTGCAGTTGATGGGGTTTCTGTGTCTTCTTGAAATTGTTTGCGCCATTTTGATGGACCAAATGCAGTTCCTCAGAAATAGTGCAAGGATTCAGTCATTTAAAGGTGCATTATGTAACTTTTCTCATCCAGCACCTGGTTTTGTCCATGGAGATATACTAAAGATAATTTTCCCTAGAATGTACCACAGTATGGCATTAAACTTGCTTATTATTTAATTACAGTTTTGTGGTTGTTGTTGTTGCTGTTTTACAATAAAACATTACCTTGTGAAATATGGAAATATGCATTCTACTGTAAGCAGGCCCACCTCTCCACAGATCAGACCTGTTAAACTGACATGGTTCTTGTCTCCACAGAAATAGATTTATTTAATATCACAGTGTGAAAAATACCAGGCAAAGCAACATCTCCATGGTGGCAGACCCTCCTTTGGGAAAATTACTCAGTGTACCTTTAAGCTTAATTTTGAAATATAGATAAATTGTAGAAAATACAGCCAATCATAGCTAATCGAGTTTAGTCAAAGAAAACATTATTTATATTATAGAAAACCAGTTTTAGTCAAAATATTGTACCTTAAAATATAACATTCATACTGATGTGCTATCTCAAAGCTGAATGAACATAAATGATCTAAATATTACCTCTTTGCACAGTTTAAGTGCCTCTAGATATTGTAACTTTCACCAGCAGAGCTCCACTCATGATGCTTTCCACTAGGGGTGTCTGAAAGTGTGAAAGCACTTTGTTAAGCTGTTGTCATATTTTACTTGGTAAATGAGGATGAGAGGTACCAGATGACACAGTACTTTTGCACCAAATGCTTGAAACCGTGTTTTAAGACAGTCACAGAAGGTAGCAGCTGTGGAGTTGGTGGAGGGAAACCAGCCGCTCCACTCTTTGAATGGAAACTTAGCACAGAGCAGGCTTCACTTGTTTTTATGAGCATGATCTCCACCATTTCCCTGGATAAGCAAGTAAAAAGCAACATTTCTGTAGACCTGTGAGACATCCGTGCACAATATGTTATTCCAGAAGTACATGTACTGCATGTGGCTGTAAGTAAAAGTAGACTGGTATTTTCTATAACATCCCTGACATGTCCAAATCTACACAATGTCATTTTACATCTGTTACTGTACTGCCTGAGATGTTCCACAGTATAAACTTGTCTGTCTCCATGGAGACAAGCCAGTGATGCTTGCACAGTAAGAACGCATGCTGTTTAATGACTTAGACTTAAATTTAGACAAACTTTATTGATCCACCAGGGAAATTACTTGAACACAGTAGCTCACCCATCACATTATGTAAATACACATGTAAATCGCAATACTAAATTCTACTAAGCAGCATAATTATATAAATGTATATGTACAAGTAAAAATAAAATTAAGTAATACAAGTATCTCAGCTATATACAAGAGGTTGTAGGGAAAACAGTGCAAAGATGATATGATGATTGACAGGACATAGGGTTATCTGTTACATAAGGCTGAGTCGTTGTACAGTTAATGGTGTTTTATTTGTGCAATAAAAACAGCAGGAATGGAATAAATGCAAAATAGAAAATAAGTCCCCACCGCTTATATAGAGCACCTTTAAAGCAGAAATCAGTTGGTCTTAAAGAAAGTCATGTTTAAATGTTATACAAATTAGTTAAACTGTAAAAGGAAAACAGGTTTGTAAAAGTTTCCTAATCTTAAAACCCTTTTCAAATCTTTTTCAGATATGACATAAATTAAACTGTGTGTGACATGAATATAATGCAGTTATATTTTCTATTTTCTAGAATGCAGAAGAAGAAGTAAAAGCTGAGATTTTCAAGAGTCAATATTCCATCTTCATCACACACTGATTAACATTTTGTACTGACTGTGAAAAAGGGCACTCCATTTCTTCTTTTCACAACAGCTTTAACATTTTATACTTTTTTATTTAAACAAAAAACAGTCCTCCAAATTGCAGTATGCCACGAGGATCAGAGGCTAAAATCGTGTCTGGAAAGTTGTGTTTTTTGCTTGCGTGTGTTGGAAGCTTTCGCCAATTAACAAGCTGATGCTGTTGTTTCATGACAAAAACAAATAAAATAAAAAAAAATTGTATTTGTTTGAGCATGTCAGTTTAGCTCGCTATAATTTGAGAACACAAGAAGGTGGTGGGAGAGAATGAGTTTTTGCTTTTGTCGCAGTTCCCCGCGGCCCTTTGGAGATCTGAAATTACTAATATCCCATTTAATAGATGGATTTAGTCTCCCGTATATGAACAAGCAGACTGTTTATACCCCAGCAGGCAACAGTTGTCTATTCTGCACGAGGCTTCCTTCTCAACACTTTGTAATATATGCATTTTCCTCTCATTTTGTCCTTCCTATTGTTGATACCGCTTATTGTGTTCTTTCCCCATCTGCACAACACAGGTTTTTTTCTGTCAGACAAGCCTCTCTTTGTTGTCAGCAGCAGGAGAGCAAGATTGCAAACGAAGATGGAGCAGTTAGAGAATGAAAAGATGGCACTAGATGGGGGTTAGATTACGACAGGGGCGCCACTGACGGAAAAGTGTAAACCCAACGGAGAAGCTTGCGAGACAGGGACATATTTTTTTGCGCCAGTGCTAACTTGAGGATAGACCTAATTAAAATGTGATTCCCACTCTGGGGAGATAGCAGAACAAAATGGAATTCAAAATAGGTACGGAGAAAAAAAAAGGAATTCCTCCCCGCTCTTTCCCACCTGCGTAGTGACGCGCCGCCCTTTATAAGCGCTTGAGTGACAGGCTGACAGGTTATACTTGGTGCTAAGCTTTATTCATTGCGGTAGAGATGAGTGACGGGCACAAAATGGGGAGGTGAGCGCGCCTTGTCACTCCATTTAAGTTGTATGAAACGCAATATACGCAGCCCGAGCCTGTCAGCCTTTGCATCTGCAGGCCCGGAAATATCGACACGGATATGTGTTTTTGTTATACGCGCTGAACTTTGACAGCGAGGGGGGACATACATTGTGAGACATGGCTGCCGCAAAGCCACCTCGCATTTCATGTTATTTTGTTTAGAGATACATGTGTTATAGATATAGAGGGTTTGAAACAGAAAAAAAAACATATAAAAGAGAATAGCTTGTGGGTTGTAGCAAATACATTTAAACCTGT